GAATTCTGGTTGGCTAAGGGACTTGGCGCAGAATCAAATTTTCTGTTTTTATAGTCGAACTCCCTCTATTTTAAATTGGGGGAGGTGGTAATCATTGATTTCTATAATAACTGGAGCAGCTAAGTGGACAGGGACCTTACACCAACAAAATGGCAGCCAATGGACCAAATATACTATGTTATTTTTTGTGTTAATCCAAATTTCTTCTGTTTATTCAGGGGCAGTGATGAGTTTGATTCATTATGTTTTAGGGGACAATTGTCTCCTGCGTAACTTTTCTCTGAGCCACCTTTAGTATCTTTTTAACTAGTTGCAGTTTCGACGATTGCCACATTAAGAATGCAGCTAATAAAAACTGGTTTTTATAACTTCTTGTACAACAAATGATTCGCCGTCCAAGTCACAGGAAATGCTGTTCCCAAGGCTCTTGATTTCAAAATTTTCCGGTTAGCATGCCTCCGGATGCGACATAGGTTTGGCGGAATTATTTTTCCAAGCTACGCCACTGATAATAATTCAATTTGCTGATTCTTTATTTCTTAATGCACAGCCTTAATTTTACGCTTTCTCCCCTCCTGATTGCTCTGTTGAAAGTAAAGACAACTGTGGGGTTATACTCTAACGTTTTTTTATGAATTATAATTGGAGAAATAAAAAACGAAAATTGGGTTCGATTTTCAAGTTACGTCAGATCCGACAAATCAGATCGAGTGAACGAGCCTTTCAAACGTGCCATACCTTATTTGGTATATATGCAAACAAAGGCACGCGTTCTGAAAGTTGACGGTTGATTTCTGGCAAAAAATAGCTCCCGTGCTTTACATCTTATTTCATTTCAAGTTTCAAATAATTTAAAGATAAATTCATTATCATTTCGAACGAAAACAATTTTTTGATTCTTTTAAATGTCTTGATGGTTTTGATTCTTTTGAGTGTTTAAATTGCTTTTTGATGAAAAGTATGATACTTAAACGATCGATCGAACGCATGTTTACAAACGTAGAAACGGACTATATGATAAAACTTTAGTTTTGTTTCCATTATTTCCTTTATAACATTTTGATAGAACCTTTTTTCCGATGATTCTGTGCGACTGCGATAAAATGATGTATAGTTATCGCAAAGAGCAAATGTTTCATCGCAGGGGCCGCGGAAGTATCTCAAAAGTGGTTTGGGGGGGGGCACTGACCGAAAAGGGCATGTGAGTTTGCAGCTTACTGTTTTAGTATATTACAGATATGCATTGTTTCATGAATCATGATTAAGTTTCAAAGTCTGCAAAATATTGGTAGACATTCTTAGAATGCTATGCGTATTCTCTATTGCTTGGCGTGCGTGCTAAGATGACTACATGAACAATTTTATTAAGTAATGCGATGTCATTAAAATTTCCCAAAAAATCTAACCCTACGTTCGTTTTTGAGAACAAAGTCCTTAGCTATTAAACGTAAGTTCAGTTCGTCAGTTCTGGCCTTGTTTGCATGCATAACAATAAGATTATTGTAGCGTGCTGCCGTCATTGTGCTCCTGCGAAAGTGTCATGACAAGCCGCTGGCATGAAAAAGATCGTTCTCCAGAGGCTGCGCTCATTGGAGCAAGAAGGTAAATCTGCAAGAGTCGGACAACATTAGACCTTGCCATGACAATCTGCGATGAGTTATTTTCTTCGGTTGAGAATATTGATGTTATGGTGTCAATTGATGTCACCTTCTTTATTTCTGAAAGTCGCTGCGAGATAATTCCTTCAAGAAGCTTTAACTCCGCCTTCAGCTGGTCAAAGTCGAGGTCATTTTCGTAAAGGTGTTCAACCTCATCATTCAACTCAAACTTAAACCCGTTTGCTGCATTAATGAGCACGGTTTCGATGTTCATCAATACAGAATATGTTTCTCGATCGAAGCGCTCCTGAAGTGAAGCCAAGCACGCATCAATTGCTTCAACATATTGTGCACGGTGGGCGTCTTTCGCAGTTCGGAAATGATGTTGCTCGCCATCTCCGTGTTGAAGTCGCCACGGAACTTTCTTCGGTCTTCGTTGTGTTGGATCGCCAACAAAGTTGATAGCCTTGCTTGAAGCAACTACTTGGTCGTAACACAAAGAGAAGTTGTCTCGTTGACGCTGCAAGTTTGTCTTCAAGGCATTTATGCAAGTAACAGTTGTTTGTGCCGTTATTGAAGGCTTCTGCAAGGTAGTTGCTACTTCTTCACACACGCTGAAGATATTCTGCGCAAAACCTAAACCAAAGTACGAGGAAAACTTCTTCAATCGGCTAGCCATACCTGATGCCCTGTCACAAACAGTGGACTTGCAATACTCTTTGGCAATGCTAAGTAATGCAGAGTAGAGGGCCTCGTAATTGTGCAGGACAGCCGAGAGAGCTTTGGTTCTTACTGTTCATCGAGTTGGACACAGCAAATGCGGATTCTCAACTTGCCTGCCGCTGTCTTCAATCTCTTTGGCGATATGCTGGTATTGCGCCATTCGTGTTGGTGAAGATCGAATAAACACGGCCAACTCTTGCACCTCCTTCAACTTATCGCTGATAATCCAGCTCTCCTTCACACAATCACGCAAAGCCAAGTCAAGACTGTGGTTACCGCAATGAATGTACAGGGCGTGAGGATTCTCAGAAGATATTCGGGCAGCAACCCCACTTCTGCCTCCAGCCATATTTGCTGCTCCCTCATATGTTTGCCATCGACAGTCGTCTATCGTCAAACTGCATCGCAACAAAAATTTCCTTCAGCGAAGTGGTGATTGTTTCAGCATCGGTTTTCTCTAGCTCGTACATTCCGAGGAAATCTTCGTGGACGGACAAGTCGGTTCTAGATATCCAGCGCAAAATACATGTTAGTTGTTCCTTGTTGCTTATGTCTCTAGACACGTCTGCAATTAGGCTAAATAATTGTGATTCCTTACGGATGTCTGCCACTATAGATCTCAGGACTGCATTGCCCATCATATTAATCAACTCGTTTATGATGTCGTGACTGAGACATATTCCGTTGTCAATCCACTCCAACAAATCAGGTACACCCTCTGCTCTTAATTTTAAAAACTGTTGCAAGTTACTCTCAAGTTCAGTTTTACTTTGCAAACTTTGGGCTAGGCGTGCCAAATACCTTATACTACTTAGTTAGTTTAGCAACATTCTTCTTCGAGTTTCCTGGGTTTTCTTCAATTCACTGACCAATATCGCTCCAATATCTCTTCTCGAATCATCAGATAATAAAACTTTCTCAGTCGCCTCTGCGTGAAATTTAGACTGAGAGCGTTTTTTAAGTTGTTCTCAGCACTTCTTGTAGAGTCAGATTCGCCGAATTTTGGTTTGGAATGAGAATAAGGAGATAAACACGTTGATGGAGTTTCTGTAGCTGACGGCAGTGTGAAATTAGACCTAGAGTCGATGTTTTGGTTAACAACGTTCTCTGCTGTAGCACTACTAAAAAAACTCGTCAATTTTCGCATCCTTTTAGCTGTTTCTAAAAGCCCTTTTTCCTTTTCTCGTTTTCGCCTAGCAGCTCTAGGCATGATGATTTTGATTAGAAGTGATTTAAACCGCAAAATTTTCAATTATTATGATTATGAATTTTGAACAGTTTTGAACAGTTTTGTAGGACCAATGGCCTGAAAGACAATACGACGGGAGCAATGCGTTGCCGTAGAATTTATAGTCTCACGTGGATCATAAATTACGACTTCTCATTGGTTAATTAAGTTATTGGGCGGACGTCTGCGAAGACAACCCCAATCGACAAACGCGATTTTTGATCCATCTGGGTAATCAAAATCAAAAACTAAGCTATAGCTGATTTCGTATGATGCCGACAGACTTTGTTCTACTCTCGGGGCTACTTGTATCTAAGAGAAACTTCTTCAGTCTAGTTTTACCTAAAACAAGGGCATTTCTACACCATGAAAAAGGGCACTTTCATTCCAGAAAAAGGGCACATTTTTCCCTGTTGCAAAAAGTGGGGAGGAGGCACTTGCCCCAATGCCCTCCCGGTTCCGCGGCCTCTGTTTCATCGTATTCATAATTCATATTTCATGGTTGATATTTCAAGTAATATTAGAAGCTCGAACAAAAATAAATGCTTACATTACATTTTTCTCACCGTTTGACCATAGAGCGCAAGATAAAAAATGTTAACCGAGCTGGCTAAATACGGCACGGTGAATCCCCATTTCATGTGTTTTTCGTCAAACGAGATATGTGTAATTGATGTCGGTAATCACTCGATTTTGGTATCTACTGTATAACGTTGTTTAGGCCGCATATCTATTCGGATTCCAGACATTTAAAATCAAAGAGAAACTTACAGGAGTTCCGAAAGGTTCTACCTTATTGTGATTGTTCTTCCCCCCTCATTCCGTAAAAATCCCTCCGGGAATGTTAACAGACAGAAAAATCGAGATTTTACCTCTATATAGGTCGCGTAGAGGAATGGGCCGAGACATGTCAAGATTAGTGTGTGGAAGCAAATATAAATAAGATAAATTGTAATGTCCAATAAAATATAATAAGCAGATATAATATTAACACAATTAACTTTGTTTTTCAATAAACTACATTAATTTGCCTTTAAATTGGCAAATTGTGTAAATTAGGTGATTTAAGATTTAAAATGTGCCATCCTCCCATTGTATGCCCTTGCTGGCTATTATTGTGGTATTTTTTGTGTCAACACAATTTTTTATGCTCAGTTTTTTAACCAGGTGTCTAAGTTTTCATACGCAGGGTTTGTTTTGACTAAATGCTAGAATATAGAAATTGGCATATCATTCTTTCTTACACATCACCATGACAACTGTAATCTTTTACTAATCAGATGATGTTTATTTTTTAGGAGGATAGAGAGCCTGATTTTGTGCTGGTACGAATCTACTTCTTCATTCATTACCCAAATCAGCAAAAGCTCAGTATAAAAATAAGCAGTAGTTTCACTCCAGTGTGCAACTTTGTGCTGTATATTTAAATTAGATTACTGGCTGCCGCTAGTCACCAAAGCGCTCCTATTGATAAGGAAATACAATTGACTGGCTGCCACTATGCTAATCACATGCATAATAAGATATGTGCTACACAAAAATTTCTATGGAGTGGGACTACTGTTTGTTTATGCACTGTGGCAATTGATGCTTAAATTTATACGTAGTATTGAAATATTAGACATTTGAAATCAGCTTGCATAAGGAGTGTGTCGGAGAATGGTGTGCTACTGACATATTTGTCTTTGTACATCATCCATGCTTGTGGGTCCTGAGAATGACTGTTGAACACACTAATTGTCCTTCTTAGGACTCCACTAACTTGGACAGTCAATATCTAGAAACATGAATTGATACTTCAGTGTTCAAACCATTTACTTAATATATGATATTAAAAGAACATCCATATTGTAATATTGTTATTTTTTTGTTTTTAATCAAATTAACTCATGTAAGCTTTCATAATCTCTCATTTTTAGGAGGAGCCCGAGAAAGAAAGAAAAAGTGCTTTAAGGTAGGCCGAAGTAATGCTCAAATATTAACCAGAGGGAATGTGTTGAAGGTGGACACTGGACAGTATGTTTATATTAACATTGGGTAGTAAACAGTTATAACTTGGGGATGCATGGTATTGGCATGGGAAGTAGGCAGTATCAGTCTTAACATGGGGAGGGGGCTCATTGCATTACCATGGGAATTAGAAACGATAATCATAGGGACCAATTGCCAAAGTAAACATGAAAAATGAATTGTTTATATTCATGTGATAAATTGTTTTTGATATTTTATAGTGCATTGTCTTGGTTGATACCTACAGCTATCAGCATTGGAATTGTTGTTGTGGCAGCATATAAATCTTCAACAAGTTAAGACTTTGAGACGTAGGCAATGATTTTTTAACCGTATCACATTGTAAATCAAAAAAGAGAAAAATTAGTGAATCTTTATGCAAATTTAAGTATTTTTAGTTTGTGTTGAAATGAAAAGGGTTGAATGTGTGTTCTGTTGACATTCCAAGGGGGGGGGGATAATTTTTAAGTGCATTCGGGAAGCTGTGGGTAAGGCATGACTTCCCATGTCAAGAACTTCCATAGGTCTTTACTTCCCAGTTCAAAAATTCTAGGATTTATGATTTCTCTGGTCCAAATATCCCATGGGTCTTATATTCCCAGAACAAAAATCCCATTGGTTAACTCAGGTCAAAAAAACCCTGGTGGGTCATAACTTCTCCGATCAAAATAATCCCTGGCGTGATAACCGCCAGGTCAAACATCCATAGGTCATTAATTCCCAGGTCAAAAATCCCGTGGGTCTTTTCTCTGTTCAGTCACATGTTCGTTAATGAATACGACCGTTAATGTGAAAGCTTTTGTTCATTATTTTTCGACTTGAAAATTAATCATTGGTTGAATAAGGATTCAAATTATGTGTGCACGATAAACGTAATGTCTGTTGACAATGAAAAGCTGACTTTAAGAATATTTCGTCTTATTACACAACAATTAACGATGACGTCTATATATTTTCAACAAACAATCCCGCCTTACATAGCGCTTTTCGCCTATGCAGCATGGGCCGGAGAGCGATACTTCTTTTATATAATTTGAATTTAAAATGGCGATATACTCTTATTAGTTTTGAATTTATTCAGGGTTTTTAACGAATTTGACGATATTTTTTGTTAAAGGGAAGATATTGGCCAAACACGAAGTCGACGGGGGAGGGAGAGGGGAGGAGGGTGTAAGGTAGGTGTGGTAGCTCCTTCCTTGAACACGTGTTTTGTTGGACATTTTCAAGAGGGCAGACCATTTTAAAACGCAATATTCAAAAGGTGAATTTGCGTTTTAATTAGAAAGAAGTGTCATATCCGTCAAACTTCCTTTTTTAGTTATGTAACAACTTTTTAAACAGTTAAATATTTATACGTTAATGCTGAACCGGCAATGTCTCCGTGGCAACGTTGATTTGATTGGTTGCTCTTTGGCCGTTGATGGGCTGGACGAAAGTGTGCGAAAATATTTTGCCAGAACTGTCAAATTTTGTTTGAACATAGATCTTTCAAAACATAACTGCTATAATTGTTAGTTTCTGTTCATTCCTTTAAAACATTATCGATGGAACAAGGTGTGTATGGTTTTTATTTGTAACGATAGATTGTTCGTCACTTTGTGTAGAATTGATGTACAACTCTTTTTTATCTAACTAAAAATTTATTCGTGAATTCGGCTCTTGTTTGTTGTCAACCACTTCAACATTACTAAATTACTCATAGTTTAGGTAGGATTAAATAGTTTAGTGAAGATTCGCGTGCCATTAATATTTTTAATATCCCCGAAGTCACAAACAACGTGGCAGAATTTTGCTTTTTGGCCTCTATATTATGCAAATCTCATCTCTATTTCTACCTTGGTTTTCGTTCAGGATTAAGAATAATCAGTTACGTTTCAAGTATTTTGCTACCACAGAACAGCCTCTTACCAGTGATGAAGTCAGCCTGAACTTTTACCACTACAATGCAAATTTTACAGCAAAATTGGCATTCATTTCTTTAGAAAATTATTTTCATTCATTTTTCTTCCTGCAGTGAATGAAAACAGAAATGTTTGCACAGCAGAAGCCAAAAAACTGCCACTTTCAACTGACTTTTCGGAGAAACACACACTTTTTCATGGCTTGCCTATATTAATTTTGTTGATGAATATTTAAACGTGAGCAATTGACTTGTATTTAAAATACATCCGGTGATTAAACTTTCAAAAAGCATAATTTAAACGTCTGACTGACCTCGTGGCACCACATACCACAGTTGCACGCTTGTCTAGATTGAAACCACGAACATTCACTGATTCATTTAACGAGCCTCTTTTAGCTAATTCTTCATGGTGATGGAAAATCAGTTTAGTTAAAGCGGATTGTTCGGATTATCTCGCGTTTAAAGATCAGATTCCACAGCAGAAATGCTGCCAAACAACTCCACTCAAAAAGGTAATTAAATTCAATGGCATTATGACATGGCAAGATCAACTTTGATTTTGTATGTCTGTAGCTACGTTTGTTTAAACCACCTTTTGTGGCAATAATGTTAACTTCGTAAAAACTTTAATTGTGTAAAAATTGTGCTTCGCGACGACACAAATGATACACTCCAACCGTAGGAGAGTCTGTCGGTTTTTTACTCCTACGATGAAAATATTTTTGTGTTCATTCACCGAAAAAAAGCAATGAATGGAAATTATGTAATTCATTTTTTAAAGACATGAATAGCAATTTTGCTGGAAAATTTACGTTTATGGAGTAAATGATATTAGGCCGGTGTCGACGCGTTGCTCTGTGATAGCAGACCACATTCGACCTCAAAACTCCCCGGCAGAGGAAAGGAAAACCGTTTACAATCAATGCAAAGATTTCATGAAGAACGACTTTCAAAATCCTGTTCATGACATACAAAGTAATGTTGGAGGGCAACACTTATATTCTTCCAACACAGAGTACTATGAAATGCAGAAAATCATCTCGTGTGATTTTTGTGTGAGCGCCATGTTTCTCGACGCTCCTATTTTTGTAACTTCCGGAATTGGGTCCTACAAAGACTTTTCTTGTATTTTTCATGCATATTTTCCGAGTGTCTGCAAATCACAGATATCACTAAAAACGCTTTTTGTCTGTGCTTCTGCTATGACTTTCAAAGTGTTGCATAACATAAAAAAGCTTTCAAGTGTCTTGTCCGATATCGGCTTTACTCTAAACGCCGTTAAAAATCCATTATGTCGCTGATAATAGCTAATTTACAGAGTACAGATTACTAAAAATCGGTTGCACTATTTTCGGAGCGATATACTAATATTACTATCATTTTCTCATTGTTTTATGTACTTCAGTGTAACTAAGGACATATGAGAGCGAGGCACTGCAAATTCAGTAAGTTAAAATCTTAAACTTTAGTCTTTGTGAGAGCCACATGCATCTTAGCTTATTCAGGTGCGAAACTAGAACGCTTATTGGGTGGGTGGGTGTGTGTGTGTGTGTGTGTGGGGGTAAATATTCATATATTAGCTCTGTCCTGCTGACTTCTTGTAGGCCATATCCTGGAACTGTAAGATTAATTTCTATGGTTTCGGTAAAGGATCAATTACTAGTATTTGTAAGACAAGGAGTTAGTACCACGAAAACATGGGATATAACTTCTGACTCTGTCCCCTTCACGTGAATCAATAAGTTTATCCGTAAAATAAATCAATGACGTCATGTTATTTTTGGTGTATGTAGTATGTAGAATGAGTACGTGTGAACCAAAAGATTGGGACATCCCAGTGTCGTATACAGCACAGAACACGTTTAATCCTATAAGAAATGTTGTGGAGACAATGCACATCGAGGAAAATCCTCAATTGGAGGTGATTCGTCTCACTGTTGGTAAGTAGTTTTCCCATTTTATTTCGTAGTGGCAGCATTCGAAGTAAGCGGTTTAAATCAGAGCTAATGTCAAATTAGCTCTGACTTAACCCGCTTTTAGGACAACTTTTTAACGTTAGTCGGGCTAAAATACGGTGGAACCTTCATTGTGAGTTTGGGAAAAATTTACTGCCCTCACAGAAGAGATAGCTCCTGTACGCTTGTGTTTCTAAATCTCCGTGTGACAGCTTGGTCTTTGGACGACGGTATCTAGTAGACTGTATTTTTCTAAAGTGTCAAAAAACTTTATGAAAAAGAAACTAATATTTAATCTTGGAAAATTAGTTCAAAGATGACGAAGTTTTATGGCTAAAGTAAATGGTTCGAACACAGGAATGTCGTTACATGTTTGTGAACCTGACTCTGAAGATGACTATCGCTAAGGTTGTCGAAACGTCAGTCAACATCAACATCAACAGTTCTCCTCAGGACTCTACTATCCTGGACGATATACATCTAGAAACATGTGAAGTTTCATTAGCATTAACTGGGTTCGGAGCCAACTTGTACGAAACTAACCTTCCAAAAACCTTGCATAAGTGAGTTATCGTTGAGAATATTTTTTATATTCCAGGTGATCCCACAGTTTTTGGCAACCTACCACCAAGTGAAGAATGTTTTCGGGCGCTCTGTGACGCAATAAAGTCAGGAAAAAATAACGGCTACAAGCCAGCCTATGGTTAGTTACACCGACAGCTTTGATCATAAGAATTAACCCTATCCTATTCCCCCCCCCCCTCCCACAAAAAAAATTTGCGTTCAAAAAGGTCACTTAACGAAATTGGATTCAAAACAGAATAATCTAGCTAAACAACAGTGCAAAATATTTTTCTAAATCTTTCTTCCTAAAGCCAATTCATGTTTTTACTATGATAACAATTGTTAGACTTTGTTTTAACTTTTGGGAACAAATAAGTCCATTTAAAGAACGCTTTTTCAAAAAGATTGATTGTCTTCGTAATACAAAGGGTGTATAAAATCCTTCAACATTTTGAAATGACAAAATATGCCAGTTCTTCGACGATGCCTTTGAAATGAATTCAACCAAAATCACAAGATTTTTACAACTTGCGCGATTCGGCTGTAATTCATACCCTAGGAGGCTGAAAGGAAGTGAAAGGAATTTCATTTTCTGGATTTGCATTGGATATAGGATGGAATTTTTTTTACACAACCTGTGTATGTTCTACTATTCCAGTCATATACAATCATCTGTATTTGTTTTGGCAGGATGCAAAGAGGCACGAAATGCCGTTGCAAAATACAGTTCAACACCTGAATACATCGTGGATGCTGAGGTATATATTCCTGCTCCATAACTATAGGGACACTTGTTGATAGTGATATTGAAAGATTATTTAGGATTTATTCATGTCAACATGTTTTGTTGTTGCCCTAAAGCCATCGTCTATAATTTTACTTCACGCTGCTTAACTCTGAAAAAACGAACCTTTATTGATGTCTATGTAGGCATAAAGGACTCTCTCATTATGTAGACAGAAAAAGCTGACTTTTTATCGTCTTCCCCCTTCTGCCCTCCCCAAGTTTTGGAATCGCACTAAATTCCATCAAAATACAACTCGTTGACAATGGTCAAGCAAAATATAGTTGTTTGCTTGCGTTTTATCTCATTAAATCAATTGCAATGAATAATATTCCTGAAGAACGGTTTTAGTTTACACGAGGTTTAGCATCTGTGTTGAATACACTTCTCTCTCCCCTTCTCTCAATAAGTTGTCGATAAGGAAGAGTTCATTTAATATTTACGTGTTTTAATTTCACCCCTAAAAATAGGGGGGTGGGTAAACGCGAGTAATGTATGCACCTACTTAAAATGTACTATGTCTATCAAGGGGAGGAGATCTTACAAAGCAGCTCTACCTGATTTTGACAGATGTGAGAGAGTCGGAAACTTTCACACGAAAAATTCTATGAAAACGCATATACTTCTATGTTTATGTTGTTTTCTTTACAGGATTTTGTGTTGGCCAGCGGTTGCTCTGGAGCAATCGAGATAGCAATGAACGCCCTAGTTGATCGTGGTGATAACATCCTAATTCCAAGACCTGGTTTCTCTCTTTACAAATGCATCTGTGGATCGAGGGGGATTGAAGCACGATCTTATAAACTCTTTGTAAGTTTGTGCAAATTAAAGATATTACGTTTACGTTACTGCTTACGACTGAAGACTGTTTTATTGTGTGCTAATTATGATAATGAAGATTAAAAACTGTTCTAATTGTATTCTAATTGTGATACTGGAGATTAAAGACTGTTCTAATTATATACTCAACTGAAATCAAAGATTGAATTGTTCGAAGGATTCCCTTAAAACTAACCTCGAGTCTTGCTTTCGACTTCATGTTCAAATGAATAATGATTATTCATAATTTTCAGCCTGAAAATGGTTGGGAAGTCGACTTGGACGATATGGCTTCACTTATTGACGAGAGAACGAAGCTTATTGTCGTTGTCAACCCATCAAATCCCTGTGGTTCTGTGTACAAAAGAGAACATTTGGAAGAAATTTTGAACAGTAAATATCTCAAGACATGTACAAGTTTTTTCTGCCGACTTGACCAACAAACTTCGTGCATTCATATTGGTCTTATTTTCTTACAGTTGCTGAAAAATACCGCGTTCCAGTTCTCTGTGATGAAGTTTACGCGCATGTCGTAAGTGTTCGTTAATTGCATGTCACGTGAAGACTTGTAAATACGTTCATGTTTCAACTAATGTAAGGTCATCACGATTGTAATATTCGCTTAGACATGAACGCTTCAAAATAATTGTGCATCTCGAGGTTGGGTAAAATTAAACTGAATGAAATGGGCGTGCAGCCCTGCGGGTTGTACGATTCATGACAAGGTTGCATAGCAAAATATTTGTAAACTCCAATGACCTAGAATTCAATATACATACAATTTTCTGACTTGGTCGAAATTTAAAAAACGAGTGAGACAAGCCGCCATTTTAAAAGGTGGGAAACTTGAGGATGTTTATATTACGACTAATATCTGCTTTTCCTGAGTTGATATAGAGTTGAAACGCTGATTTAGTCTAGATTTTATTTTTAAGTGTTTGTTACGATTGGTTGTTAAGACATCTTTCAAGATGGCGTCCTTGCCTCACGTCGACACGGTTGTTAGACATGCAGGGGGTTGGGTTCTAAATTTTATTGATACTGCCCGAGAAGGTGATCAGGCTTGGCAACACTGAATAAGGCTTGAACTAAATTAACTTTTTCTCTTATTTCCTGCAGACATTCGGCAAAGAGCCTTTCCATAGCATGGGAAGTTTAACAAAAAATGTTCCTGTTCTAGTTGTCGGTGGCATCGCCAAAAGGTGAGCATGCGCATTTCTATTGCATTACGTCATTTTGAGGAAACCATATAAACGTTGTGTGTCAATGACAGGTTCTTGGTGCCAGGTTGGCGTATCGGATGGATTGTAATTCACGACAGAAATGATTCCTTTGGTTTTAAGGTATGAATATATCGCTTGTAGTTATGGACTAGGCTCCATTAATACCATCAAGATTTTATATCTTTGCTTTGCTTTGGCTGTTTAAAGTCGAAGTTGAAAGAAAACGTTTTTTCTGTATTCCTTAAAATCAACGGTACAATCATTGTTTTTCATTGTCATGTTAATCGCCATTGTATTGAGATAGTTATGATTCCAGATCAATAGCTAAGTCAGACTGATTTTACTCCAACGCAAAAATTTTTGTGTTTATCTCCCGGAAAAAAATGGGACAAAATGAATTTTCTAAAGATATGAACTACAGTCAAACTTGTATTTAGCGGCCCTGTATTGAACAGACACTTTGTAAAGTCCAAAATCATGTATAATTCGTAGGAATGAAGCCTCTATTGAGCAGACGCGGACACAAAAATTGTCCAATAACACAAAAACCTGTGTTTAACGAACAACTTTTCAAAATATTTCATCTTATCTACAAACATAATGTTAGTCACAAACATACTGTTTTAACAAGTACGAAGACATTTTTCATAATGCAAGTGCATTGAAGATAAAATACTTATATCAAACATGAAATTGTTTACCAATTATTATTAAACATAACTTGTCAATGTCAAATGTAGTTTGTCGTTGTCTAAAAAAGATGACATTACAACAAAATCTTTGTTCAGCCACTTATTTACTGAATATTACTAAATATTACCAAAAATATTTCTCAGTTTTGTTATTATTAACTGAAGTCATTTCTAAATATATCTGCACCGTTTAATTGTTAATTTTACCATTTATGTTATTTTTAACGGAGAGAGGCCTGGTGACAAGTATCTCTGTTAAACGGACACCTCCATTAAGCGGACGCTAGTCCGTTCGCCGAGGGTTTCCGCTTAATACAAGTTTGACTGTATAGTTTTCTTAAAAAAGTAGAATTGCAGAAGTAAAAGTTAAGGTCTTGCTTCGCCATTACTCCAGACGTTCAGGGAGAATAAACATTCAAGAGAAACGCATTTACTTCAACTTCAAACGATGGCTGTTGGTGATTGATGTTAAGAATGCAATGATTGCAAAATACTTAATTATTTTTTTAACTGTGTTTTAGATAAGACAAGCCTTACGACGTCTCTGCCAGGTTATTGTTGGTCCATGTTCGGTGATACAGGCTGCACTACCGACGATTCTTTCCGATTGTCCGACTCAGTTCTTTGAAAAAACACTCAATCTTATGAAGGTAAAGTACTTAATTTTCAAGAACAATGGCGGACTTCTTGATGGAGATGGGGTCCTTCAAATATAAGTTAAAAAACTTCAGGTCCGTCAATGTATATAGAACTTAACCAACTTAAACCAATGTATATAGAACTTAACCAACAAATTTAAAACCATGAATTTCGTCACATTTTATCATGATGTCATTTAGAAAACATCAAATATATTCTACGAAAGTCTTTCATTGCTGCCAGAACTTTATCCAGTCCGCTCACAAGGTGCTATGTATATGTTGGTAAGAAACTTGTCAATTTTCTTTTTTGCTCGTTCATAATCTTAATCATAATCTCTTTAAAACGTGTCTGTTTTTATTTTAGATCGGTATCAAAGTTGATAGGTTACACAGCGTGAAAGATGATGTTGATTTTACACAGAAATTGATGGCCGAACAATCAGTTTTTGTTTTGCCAGCAACGGTAAGTTCTTCACTGTCGTTCAACCATGCATATATTCATGTTACTTCATCTTATTTTTATTTGAGACATGTCGTTATACTTATCCCAAGTAGACATTTATTTAACTGAAGTGAATAGTTAGGTACACCTTAATCGATAGTTTTGTACAGTGAGGTATAGCCAAGTAGATAGTTGGGTACACCCATGTACATAAGTGGGCACACTACTTTATCGATATTTAGGTGCACATGACATTTGTCCGTAACACTTTGATGCAAATCCAGAAAAATTTCCATTCACATTATGTCTTTTGAGCGTCTATTTATTTTTGCCAAGTTTGGGCGAATTTTGTTTTGTTCTTGTTTCTTTTCATGGCTGTCATTATGTCTCTACTTTACTACTCTTAAAGATGACAAGAAGGTTGTTGAAGTGTGCATAAAAAATCCAACAAACCAGTCTGGTCCACGCTATGTTTTAGATTATTATCATTATTCATTTCGTTACAGTGTAGACTTCTTTTGTTATTTTGGCCAGCTCAGAAACAATTGCATAGTAGAGAAAATTAATCAAAATATTTTTCTTATTTTCTTCTGTGCAGTGTTTTCAATGCCCCAACTTTTTTCGCGTTGTCCTCACATGTCCCGTGGAAGTCGCGCGAGTCGCTTGCGAGAGGATCGCGCAGTTTTGTCGTGATCATCGAAAGAACGCTTTGACCAATGGACACATGGAACATGAGAATGGGATTTATCACGTCAACGGTTATTGATATTTCAAAAATAATATCATAGAACTTCTAAAAACTCAAAAAAATATTGCGATTGCGGCTTCTCTAGGTTCTTAATTTGTGCCAAATCAAAAATGGCGGCAAGATTTAAGTTCCAGTTTGTGTCACAACCATTGAACGTCAATACATGGAACGCTACCTGTTGAGGCAAATAATTGAAGCCAAATCTTACCTTGACACGCGAGATTTCACCCCAGACACGCGTGTTTAGTGTTTCGAGATTCTCTCGCGGAGAGAAAAGTGATTGACTACATACACACGCGTGTCTGGGATATAATCATGGCTTCAAAAAATTATTAGGGTTTTGTATTACAGGTAGCGTTCCCATGTAATTTCAGTTCAATAGTCACAACTGTCCTTCTCAATCCCATGCTACCACTTCTTATGCTTACACTTGTAATCCAGGAAACAGGAAAAGGGATTGTTTTTTAAGGTTTTTCTAGAATGCTAAAAGTATATTTATTATATTAATCAATGTAGTTGTGAATATTTGTGTATATCTTTTATTAATGGTGGTCTTGGTAATATTGTAAGGCGACAAAGGATTTGCTTTGTTTTGTTTTTTACTCTAGTTTACCGTTTCTTGAGAAAAATCCCTTTTTTATTGATTTTGTTGTGATTTTATGTCCGATGTTTTCATACCTGAAACGGTATTTTCTCCAAAATTGATCTAATTTTCGCATCATTTGAAAGTGATGAAAAGCGTAAAGATGGTAAAATGCACTTATACACAGTGGTTTCATGTTCACCTGTTTGTTGTTTTCGTGACTCCCGCGCGAGGAAGGATTTTAGAAAGAATTTTATTGGTTCGTGGCGTTGGTCACACGCAGCGTTGATTACTTAAAACATTGTCATATTCATTTCAATGCTTTAAACCGAAAGAAGAAACGATGGGTGAATACATGTGTCTTCATTTTTTATCATTTTTTTGAAAGGAGAACATTAAAAGAAGCCTGCGTTTGGGGAACGACTTCAGACGCCAGCTATCTATATAAATACAAAGAATATAAAATTCAAACAAAGGTTAGTGAAATCTTTTCGCATTTTTAATTCTTGTGTCGTCATTCAAACCTTTCATCAATAAAATAGATTCCCTGTTCACCATACCAAAAAACCAACATTATTAAGAAAAAATGTAGTTAACTAAGAAAATACTAACAGTTTTAAATAAAATTTGACGGGAACTTGTCTTATAAGAAAATTGTGAATCTAGATTGAGCCTAATTACTCCCACACACTTGGTCAGCCTAAATTGTCGTTTCTCTTCCTTTTACACATTCATGATTTTATGTAAGATTATCATTACTTTATTATAACCACATTTTGTAGACATTGAAAATCTTTTTATGCATTCTAGTATCAATGATTTATACAATTTACACTGTCCTGTTATTTACCCCCAGCGGTTGTTTGAATTTTAAATATTTCTTTAGAAATTCACATTGTTGTCAATTTGTCGGAATTTCTATGTCATTGTATCATATGATATGTAAATAATGGCATTCTAGATTTGAGATGTACTACCCAGCCCAGGTTTTTCGACTAAACAAAGCTTCCATTCTAAAAGCACACTCACTGAGTGGGACATCAAAATCATCTCATGACTATTCCAAGACATTATTTTCACTGCACTACTTGATTTGAAATATTTTAGCAAAAATCCTACCGTCGATAGACGAGTCTGCCGTTGATACGTAAGAAAACAATTTCTGATTTCCACTCGATGAGCACGTATGAGTGAGAAGCCTCCCCCCTCACCTCCAACCTTTGGAGTAAATTGTGTCAGGAACTTGTCTTAGATTGAGTGCAACTTAGTTCCTCCATGCATTCGGTCTGCTGAATTATCTTTTCTCTTCCTAAGGCGTTCTTATGCCGTTCTTCTATTGGCACCACTCACCAGAAGGACAAAAAATAATAAAAATAACAAGGCAAAAGTTGATGTCACAAATACATTGATTTTTAATTTAAATGCAAGTTTTACATGATAATTTGTACGCAAAAAGATTCCTTTCAATAGAGACATTTTTTGGTATGTTTGGTATGTTCTTTCCCCTTCTCCCCACGCACGCCTTCGCATTTTGGCAATATGCATACAAACGAATTAGTGAAGAAAATAAGGTTACATCCAACGAATACTTTGAAATTTGAATGATGTGCTATGGAAGTTTAAACATTTAAGATTCTGTCGTGGTCTTTTCTAGAATACTGCTTTAGTGAAAGTGACTAATTAATATCTCACATAGTGAATTAAATTGAACCTATTGCACATTCTTAGACGCAGCATGAACATTCAAATTTTTGGTGATAGTTTTAATTATTTTACAGTCAATGACTTTAATGATTCACTGACAAAGCCATTCTAAGGTTTTTGTATATCGTAATATGCTAGTTTGGAAATCTTTGCAACGTATGATTTTGTTACTAAAAAACAGATGACCATCTAGCTTGTAAAAATTTACTCACTATTTTTTAAAAAAAGGTTGTCAAAAATGAGTACGGCAAGGTTAGTACTTCAGGCCATTATGAAGTTCAATAAACCACTATCCTCTGCCTTTTTTGCACACTCTTTTAGTCATACCAAAAATTAGCTAATAAATGGCCATAATTTTTCTACTGCCAGATTGGCTATGTCGAGAGCTTGCATCGTTTGCTTTCTTATTTAGTCACGTGCTTCTTCCTTTCGTGACACCTGCGCGTGGAAGAAGTATTGAAGAGATTTTATTGGTTTTTGGACTAGGCGTTGCTAATTATACGTGTGAATTTCGCTAATTCGCTTAAAACCGTTTTCCGCTGTCGTACTCATTTCAATGATTCAATCTGTGATTGCAAAGAAGGGCGAATTCGGGTTTTTTTTACTTTTCATTATTTTTATTACAACAAAAAGATTGAAAGAGGTTTGTGTTTGGCGAGCAACTTCAGACACCAATAATCCATAAATACAAAGACAAAAGATATTTGAGAAAGGTGAATGAAATAGTTTCTTATGACTTAATTTATATGTCGTCATATAAATTTTCAATCAATAATATAGATTCGCTACTTTTTCTTCTTGTGAAAAACCAACATTATAAAGACAAAACGCAATGTAACAAGTATATACTAAAGCAAATATGTGACACGAAATTGTCTTTAGTTGAGCAATTTTAATTACTTAACGCATTTGGTCAGAGCAAATTGTTGTTTCTCTTCCTTATTCGTTCATTATGACTATTTTATCAACATTATTAGTTTAAAGTGAATGGTTTGAACCCAGAAGTATTGTTGCATGTTTGTAGATGTAGATCGGCCAGGCTAGTAGAGTCCTTAAAAACACTGCTGGTGTTGATGTTGAATGACGTTTCGACAACATTAGCGGTAGTCATCTTTAGATCGAGTCAAGTGAGCAGTCAGGTTAGCGGTATTTGTTGTCTTGCTCATACGTCATGGTATTGTCAGTACAGGAAATGTGTGGGTGTCAATTGTGTATTGTCATCATGAAAGTAATATTTGAGGTTGTGAATAAATTATTTTCGTAAAGTGCTGGTAATTGTTGTGATCTTTTCAGTGGATTTGTTCTAAGTTGGTATACCAACTTTCTAACGTAAGCCCTTCATTGTCTGTAGTCAGTGCTGTAAGTAATGCATTTTGCCGTGTCCCAATGAATGCTGTGTTTTGTCAGTTGGTGATGTTCTGCACTGTGATTAGTTTTGTCTTGTTTCTTTGCTCCTTTTTTGTGTTCAGTAAGTCTTATGTTTAAGTTCCTGTCAGTCACACTGATGTACAAGACGTGTCAGTCGGAGGAGTTTATTCTGTAAACTGCACCTTAGCGCTCGTTTGATTGTTCTTTGTCTTTGACGTTTGTTAGTACTTGTCATAGTGTTGTGATTGGTTTATGTGCGACACGTATGTTGTATAGTCGTAAAGATACGCGAGATAGTCTCAGACGTACCTTTGAACTAAGGTATCCTTGCTGCTGTTGTTGTTGTGTTTTTCGTTTCGTTGGGTTCATTGTGTTTGTAAGTGTTGCGTTTGATTTAGTCAAAGAAACTATAATCCCCTACTCACATTATGCCACTCTGTAGTAACCCACTCACCCTATGTGTCTCTCTGTATTCCCCCACTCACTCTATGTCACACTGTAGTCCCCTACTCACTCTTTGTCACACTGTAGTCCCCCACTCACTCTTTGTCACACTGTATTCCCCCACTCACTCTATGTCACTTTGTACTCCCCAACTCACCCTATGTCATATTAAACTCCCCACTCACTTCATGTCATACTGTACTCCCCACTCACCCTATGTGTCAAACTGTAGTCCCCACTCACCCTATGTGTCACTCTATAGTCCCCACTCACTCTATATGTCACACTGTACTCTCTAACTCACCCTAAATATCACACTGTAGTCTCTCACTCACCCTATGTCACACTTTAGTCTCTCACTCACCCTATGTGTCACACTGTAGTCTTACACTCACCCTATGTCACATTGTAGTCTCTCACTCACCCTATGTCGTATTGTAGTCTCTCACTCACTCTATGTCATATTGTAGTCTCTCACTCACCCTATGTCATATTGTAGTCTCTCACTCACCCTATGTCACACTGTAGTCTCTCGCTTGTGTAGCACTGGATTCTTTGAGATAGCGATTGTACCTTGATAATCTTAATGTATGTTCTTAACCCCAGTACAAGCCATTTGTAGGTCTTTAAACAGTTGTCGCAGCCATACTAATTCTTGGGCTGCATAACATAACGCAATGTACTCCGATTCCGACGTTGAAAGAGCCACTGTCGGTTGTTTCTGCTTGCCTATCTGATTGCTCCACCTGACATTATAAACACATTTCCTGATGTTGAACGACGATCGTCTGTGTCGGAGGCCCAGTCTGCATTATACTTTCCTCTAAATCGATACTGTTTTTGGTACTGCAGGTTTAGTTTACAAATTTCTTTCAAGTAACCAAAGATACGTTTTACAGCTGTAAGATGTGCTTCGTTCGGTGCTGTGTTGAATTTAGCCAATGTTGTTACTGCCTGAGCTATATCTGGACGGTAGCAATTGCCGCGTGTATCAAACTTCCTACAATTGACTGATAGTGAGAGGCATCGACTGATTTGTAATGTCCATCTTCTTTAACATATTTGACGCTTACATCCATTAGCGTAGACACTGTCTTGCAATCTTGTAATTTATACTTTTTTTAGAATCTTGTTGAAGTATTGCTCCTGATTGATTTGTAACACACCGTTCTTTATAGTAATACTAACTCTTAGGCAGTAGTGGAGTACGCCAATATCTTTCATTTTGAATTGGTTTGCCAAATTGGCCTTTAGATCATTCATCTCTTCATCAGTTTCAGTCAAAAGTATGAGGTTATCAACGTGAACAGTGATAATCGCCTGCTTATCGTTGAGAAAACAAATAAATAGGCAATGGTCTGCTTCACTCTGAACAAATCTTAATGATAACATAAACTCACTGAAAACCTTATTCCAGCAACGTGGACTTTGCTTTAGACCATAAAGCGATTTCTTGAGACAACACACTAGCTTTTCTTTTCCTGGTTTTACGTAGCCTTCGGGTTGTTGCATGTATATTTCCTCTTCCAATGTTCCATTGAGGAATGTCGTTACTACATCCATTTGATGGATCAACATTCCTCGAGATACACCAAAAGCCAGAAGAGTGCGAATTGACGAAAAACGAACCACTAGAGAGAATGTGTCTTCATAGTCAATTCCATATTTTGCAGAATACCCTTAGCCACCAGACGACCTATAAATCTCTACCTTTCCTGTTTCATCGTGTTTAACTTTAAAGACCCACGTGCAACTGATAGGCTTACGTCCAACTGGTAATATGCCTAACTCCTAGGTCTTATTCTCTAGTAAAGACTGCTATTCTGCATCTGCAGCAGCTTTCCATTTCGTTGCATATTCACTATTAAGAGCATCTTTTATGGTTTCTGGCTCTGTGATCTCAGATACGGAAAGTGCTGTATACTTCGATGTAATGATCCCAGCATAGTCGTCGTGGTAATACATTGGTGGTATTATCTCTCTTCCTGAGCGTAAAGGCTCATATGAGGGATCTTGTTGTTCATTTCAGGTTGCACCATCTTGTCCCTTTATTTCTGTTTCTCCTTCAGCACACTCGATAATATCTTCACCACACATCATTTGAGCTTTTGTTGATCCAAAATCTGTTTCATTAAATGTACCGTCCCTCCGAATAAAGACTTTTTGTTGATTCTCATCATAAAGCCTGGATCCTTTCTGTGTAAGGCTGTAACCAACAAATCTCATCTTGAATTGAATGAAGATATGATCTTCGCACTTTGCTGGACAATTTAAGCAATTGTCTCGTGAACCTGAAAAATT